TCTGTCTAAGTAACTATAGCTCACCTGTGTTTTGAATATTTTTGAAAGTGGTATGGATGGATTATTCTTGTCCAGACATGCTTGTGACTAAGCAACTGATAGGAGTTCAATCTTACAGTGGAAACAGAGTCCCTGTGGCCTATGGAATCAGTGAGCTCACATGTATGAAAACCCCAGCCCTACTATGTGGACTGTTGATATAATCTAGAACAATTTACTGCCCTATCTTAAGCTGCAGTTCCAAAATCTGTAATGTAGGGGTAAACACTAGTTGTTTTTAACCAGTATACATCTATGCTTTGTTCTAATTGGTTGGCCATACCAGTTGTTAATTATTATATTGTTAGTATATTTATAAATATTATTTTTGTCTAAACCAGCAAACTATGGCCTGCAGACCAAACTTAGGCCCCTACATCTTCATAATCTTTGTAAATAAATTTTTACTTGGAACACAGCCAGGCCCACTCACTTATATATTGTCTCCTCTGGCTGTTTCTATACTATAAAGGCAGAGTTCATGGTCTAAACAGCTGTGATTTGTACCAAGATATTCACATTTTTCAAGTAGTTTCTTATAGCCAAGAAAGGAGTTGTGCTCAGGACAAGTTGCTAGAGATCCCCTTGGAAGTAAAGGAACTTCCCTCTCAATTTCAAGATTAGGCTGTTGAGGAAAAGGGTCTTCAGTGAATTCTGAAATCACATTTCCAGAAATAAAAAGCCATATGTGGTCCCATGACATTCAAGTATACAATGAGATGCATTGTAGATGCATTGCACTAAGTGTGCCCACTTTCTCTTTTCCCCTTACTCTCTAGTATCTTATCCTGGTGTCGGTTCTTACTTTGCTGGATCAAGGCAGGGGACAGAGAAATGTTTCCAGGGAAAGTATAGGGAGAAGATGTTTTCTTTGCCAACTTGAGTCAGGCTCTGGGTCAGATTTACTCTTCATTGCACTTGGGTCTTTCAAACAATTATTTGGGCCTTAGTTTTGATTTTGCCTCATTGGAGCTAATAAGTGCTTTAAGCATTTTAGTATTTTAAAAAGAGTTAATTAATTTCATCTTAATTTCTTTAAAGAGTGGACATAATTCCAAGCCTTCAAATAAATCTGGCGGAGCCCAGAGGAAATCAGGCAATGACCACAAAATAATAGAAGTCAAAAACCAAAGCACAAGAAGTTCATTTACTCCTTTTTATTCTTCTTTAGTTTGATTTAACTCTTGTTGGAATTTTTGTCTCTGAGAAAGCTGAGAGGGTAACTGAGCTCTTGTCAATAGTCTCATTTTACTTCAGAAACATGCAGCAGAGAAAGAGGGAATGGAGTCAATAAGTGTGATGAATTGATCAATGTTGATTGCATACCTACTGTGCACAAAACATTGTGTTTATCTAGGTATTTTATATGGGCTCAAAGAGTTTTTAAACCCTATATGCAAAGCTGTACTGACTTATGTCTATAATTCAGCTTTTAAAAAATTATGACTTCAGCCATTCGAAAAGAGAATCTTGAAATGCTTTTTAGTTAATATTTAGTGTTTGATATCAGGAGAAAACAAAATGTGTTTTCCTCTTATTTAGGATATGATTAACTAAACACCTTTATTCTTGTTTATAGACTTGTAATATTGTTTTCCTAGGAAAGCAGATCAGTTGTTTCATAGAAGTTGAGAGACAGTCAGAGATGTATGAAAACTCATCTCACAGTGGTGGAAGCGGTATGGGTGTGCCTTGCCTAGATTGGAAGACAAAGAGTTGACAGGGCCCAGGAAAATCTGAGCAGCTGAGGGCTGGGCCAGGATGAGGTCTTAGCACCATCTTTGGAAGCCTTTGGCCCTGAGTGTGTATTCCTGCCAGGCTATATCTCCTTGTCAACTGTTTTTTCCTTACTATTTCCCTTTCCAAAATATGGTCTTTAATCCTTATCTCAATTTTATCCTACTGTGGAAAAATTCACTTATTTTGTTGGAAGAAGGAAGAAGGCAAAAAGCAAAGGTATATTTTTGAAGGGAATATACTAGACAGTATTATTCCTATTTTCTGGTTATGTCACAGGTTCTGACCCTTCTCCCTGCTCCTTCCTTCTTCCTTCTGAGACCTCTCAGTTGAGACTGCATCCCAGCAGAGCATATAACTTCTTCCTGTTGAAAGCAGCCCTGGAGAGGAGGCCCGGTAAAGTCATTCATGCTAAGGTATCAATGATTAGTATGAACTTTTAAGAGAATTTACATTTTATCTCACAAAATCCTCAAGAAAAGGTAAAACTCCAGTTTTTTGGGTTTTTTTTTTTTTGGTGCTAGATGGGGAATTTAATTCCTCTTCCCCATTAAAATGAGCCTAGGAAGGCTGCAGTTTATTGTAGTTACTCTAAAATATGAGATTGTATGCAAATATATGAACATAATTTTAAGAAGGAAAAAAGCTGTTGTCATCTAAACTGGATTTTTCAAAAGCTAGAAATTTGGAGTAAAACAGGAGAGCCAAAGAAGATAATAATTTTTTAGTTTTTCAGAAGAAGATTGCAATCCCTTTTGGCTTTCCTCCAGGGATATCTGAACAGGACATTGAGTGGCTGAAAAGCCAAAATTTTCAATGTTTCATAACTGCAATCAGTTATTAATTTTGGGGAAGGACTAAATGATAAAAACGTTCACATTAAGGCAAGCAGCATTGTGGCTCTATGGGTTTGTGTTTTTTTTTTCTCCTCTTCCTCCTCCTCTTCCTTTCTTACTTCTTCTTTCTTTCTTTCTTTTTTTTTTTTTTGTGGGAGGAGATGAGAAATTTTGTTTTAGTTAATGTTTTTGTTTTTGTTTTTAAAATGATGAAGAGGAAAATGCTTCACTGGCACAGAGCAAACTTTCCCATAAAACTCTCTTTGGCCATGGACTAAGTATAACACACATAGTGCCAAGAGGGGTTTTATGGCTTCCCCTTGTTTCCCCTGCAAAGGGGGAAAAAAAAAATAAATAAAGCTAGAATGAAAACCACATTTCTGCCTCGGTTGGGCTTCCACTTTGACTAAATAATCATTACAAGGGTTTGGTTTTGTCTAAAAGAAATCAAATAATAATTATCTTCTTTCTCCCTGTACTTCTAGAAGAGACAGGGAAGTGTGTGAGTTGAAACATCATTGCTATATTGGTCAGGCATATTTATAAACCTCACTGATTTGGTCCATAGCTCCCAGGCAGCCTCCTGTCAACCACAGGGCAGAGACAGTTCTGAAGACCAGGATATTGCCTTGTCTCGGCAACTCTTGATTACCTCAGTGCTGACTGCTTGTGGGATCCTACATGGCTGTCAGCCTCAGTTCCGTTCCTTGAAACCCAGGTTCACTAAATCCTTCTGCAGTTCACTCTGCTAATTGGGCAATCAGCTGCTCAGAGAAATCAGATGAAACAAGGGGAACTCTCTTTCCCCCTTTTGTACCAAGGCTAACTGACCCAGGAAGATGGGATTCAAGGACGTAAACAAATACCTTCTAAGAATTCTCATTTTCCTAATTTTAAGCAAAACTGATTCCCCCTTGTCCTCCCTAAACCTCAACTTACTATTTAGTAAGTGAGGAAGGTTATTGATTATTTTATAGAAAAATATATTTATTTGTATGTAGTTACACAGCCTCCAAATTGTGAATATAAATATTACATTTAAACTTAATGGAGATTGGGAAAAACTTTGTAAGATTAAAAATAGCGAGGGGGATCACAAAATATCAATAGACTTCACTTTTTTTTAACCCACTTATTTGTGTATGATCGACTTACAAAAAGCTATGTGTATTTAATGTTTGCAACTTGAGTTTGGAGAGAAGTATACACCATGAAACCATCACCACAATCTACAAACATCTCATTTTAGCAACATGAGATGTTAGAAATGGCCTCTTTAAAGTCAAGAATAAGAAAAGAAATGGGGGAAAAAAGAGGGACATCTGTAATAGTTTCAACAATAAAGATAAATTTAAAATAAATAAATAATCCATGAGTAAGCCTTTTGAAGTGAATATTTTAAAAATGGATATTTGGAAATGTTTTCAATGCTATGTGGTTTCTGTTGCCAAAATCTATAAATACTCACATAGCCATATAGTTTAAACTTAGAAGTAAAATGTCCTAATCTGCTTGAAATAAAAAAGAATAAGAAAAGAATAATATCACTACTCCTATTAAATACAGGGTTGGACAAAAGTAGGTTTACAGTTGTCAGTACACAAAACAGTTTATCCTTAAGTTATTATTTATTAATTACTGTATTATTTTCCATACAAGCAACTGTTAACCTATCTTTGCCCCACCCTGTATTGTATTAAAATGCAATTAGAAAGGAAAAAATAAGGTAAAAGGGTTAAAAAGAAAAAACCTGCTTGTATTAGTTTTTTTTTTCCTTTTCTTCTCATGTTTGTCACACATATGCCCACTTTCTATTTTGCTAAGAAAGAGGTGTTTTGATCATGTAACAATTTCTTTCCCACAGAGGACTGTATTAGTTTTTATGGTGCTGTTACAAATTACCAAAATCTAGAGTTTTGAAATATCACAAATATTTTATCTTATAGTTCCACAGTTCAAAAGATCTCACTGAGCTAAATTCAGGTGTTTGCAGGGCAGCATTCCTCTCTGGAGGCCCTGGGGGAAAATCAGTGTCCTTGGCTTTTCTAGCTTCTAGTGGCTGCCTGCATCCTTGGCTCCTTCCTATATCATCAAAGCCAGGAACATCAGGCCAAGTCCTCTGATGGCCAAACCTAAACTGCACTCTTTAAGAATGTAATACTCCTCTATGGCAAGAGAAACTATAAATACTATCAAAAGTCAAAGGACAAAAAGAAAGATATTTATAATGTGTAAGGATTAATATGCTTTACTAATAAGGAATTCTTACATAGCCATAAGAAAAAAAATCCAAATATCCCACTATAAAAATGGTCAAATGAAATAATCTTGAGGAACAAGCTATAGTAACTAAAGACATTGTGATATTGGTGCAAGAATAGACAAACAATGCTCACATCAGCAGCACATGTACTAAAATTGAAATGATACGAAGAAGATTAGCATGGCCTCTGTACAAGGATGACACACAAACCAACCAACCAACCAATGGAAGAGAATGGAGAAAGAGAACCACATATTGTTGCCTGATTAATGACAAAGGCAATACATATTGTAAAGCAAAGGGCAAAAGATGATCTTTCTATTAAATGGTGTTGGGTGAATTGACTATCTGCAGGGAATAAAATGTGTCTGGATCTCCAATTTATACCAGGCACAAAACTCAATTCCAGCCCAGTGGCATGGTTCAGTGGTCGAGTGTTGACCTATGAACCAGGAGGTCATAGTTCAATTCCTGGTCAGGGTACAGGCCCAGATTTCCAGTGTGGGGTGTGCAGAAGACTGCCTTCTGCTTATCAATGATTCTCTCCTATCATTGATGTCTTTCTCTCTCCCTCTCCATTCCTCTCTGAAATAAATAAAAATGTATTTTAAAAAACTAATTCCAAATAGTTACAGACCTAAATATGAAAGAGAAAATAATAAAACATTGGAGGAAAACATAGAAGACTATTTTCATGGTCTTGGAATGGGCAAAGGTTATTTAAACAGTCACAAAAAGCATTAACTATAAACTTTTTTGTGTGTGATAAATTTACCATATTAAAATAAAATAAACCTGCTGCTTATCCAAAGATACCATTTAGATAGTGAAAAGGGAATGTACAGGGGGCGATCAGGGGCAGGGCTGGCCAGCGGAAGAGGCTGTGGGTCAATTGGGGTGGGGGGTCCAACAGAGGCAGAGCGGCCAGGCTAGCAGAGGAGAGAAGTTAGGGGCGACTGGGCCTGCAGGGAAAGGCAGTCTATGCTAAAGTAACCTTGTTATTGCTTCAGAGATAGGTGATGACTTTTAATAAAGTATTCCTAATTCTGTCTTCTTATTGTAATATTATTGTCATCAGATATTATAATTATATTTTTAGCAAGCTGTTATCTACTAGATCAGTTAAAAATAACAAAAATATAAGATTTTATTTTACCTATATTTGTTTCTTCTCTAACATTCTTCTTTTTTAAATGTAGCCCCAAGTTTCTGATCTATATAATTTTCTTTTTCTATGAAAAACTTCTTTTAATATTTCTTACGAGGGCTTACTGTGACAAATGTCCTTCCTTTTGTTAGTTTGAAAAAGTCTTTATTTCTTCTTCACCTTTGTAGGCTAATTTCACTGTAAAACAAATTCTAGTTTGGTCTTTTCTTTCAGTACTTTAAATTCCTCTTGCATGGTTTCTAAGGAGAAGTCTGATGTAATTCTTATCTTTGGTGCTCTATAATTAAGGTAGTTTCTCACCCTTTGGTTTCTGTGAGAATTCTTCTCTTCTAAAGGCAAGTATCAGATAGATTTGTCTAAACAACAACAACAACAGCAAAATAACATTTTATACTATTAAAAAAGACAAAGCAAAATGAATGCCATAAATAATAATAAAGATAAAGGACAAAATGGAAAAATACATGCAATAGTAGACAAACTGTTAATACTATTATTAGATAAGAAGCTCTTAATAATAAGATAAGCTAAATGTTGTAAAATAAAAATGGGCAAAAAACATGAAAAGGAAACTCACAAAAGAAATTAAGATGGTCAATAAACATACATAATAAAAACTTTTGGTAATTCAAAATGAAATTAATTCAAGAAGGAGCTAAAATTTTTAACATTTCAGATTAGTAAAGATTAAAAAAATGGCTTGTTGCATATGAGGAAAGGGCCAGAACCAGCTGATGGTATGTATAATGTTATATTTCTGGAGGGTAATTTAGCAAATTTTATTAAATTTCTTCAAAACAATAATTTCTTTTGATTCAGCAACTTTACTTCTAGAAATTTATCCCAGTAAAATAATTGGACAAATATACAAAAACGTATGTATAAAGATAATTAATATGGTAGTATTTTTGTAATAGTGAAAAATTGGCTTAAATGTCCACATTTATTTTTAACTTGATTTATGAGAGATGAGAAACAAGAGAGAAAAAAATAGTTTGAAAAAGGCAAACAAGTTTTTATAATAAAGAATTGTCTTCTTAAGTGTCAGTGTCTTTCACAAATAGAGAATGGGAGAAGCAGAATGTGATGTGACAACTTGTACATATGATACCCTTATCTCTCTGAAGACCCAGAAGTTTGCAGTCCTGACAAGATGGGGCTTAGTTCCTTGGTTCCACAAACACCCATCACCCTTCTCTCCTTCTTTAAACCACCCATCATTTCCTTTAATGACTGGAAGTACAGCTCCTTTGCTAGAAAACATCCAGTTGAGACATTGGGAGAGAGTCTCCATCTGCATCAGTCTGACCTTGAGAAAACTGATTACAGCAGAATTTACTTCTCTGGGCATGGGAGTTGGGAAAGGGAAATCAGATATTATAATACTCAATAAATCCTTGGAGGTAACCAAGAAATCCAGGATATGACGTCAGCATTTGAAGTTCCATCCTGGCCCCCTTAAATGAAAATGACTACCTACAAAAATCAGGACATAGGAACTCAGGGCAAAACCTATATACCTGAAAATATCCCATTATAACTTTCAAATTTGTTCTGTATTTATTTATTTATTTATTTATTTATTTATTTATTTATTTATTTATTTTAGGTAAGTCTGTGCTTTTTATTATCTATTTGAGAGGGATGAAGTGGGAGGAGTGGATGGCTCCAAAGCCAGGCCCGCGGCATGTCACTGGCTTGTAGATGATGGAGAACTCACCCAGGTAGTGGCCAATCATCTCAAGCTTGATTTCCACCTGATTGAAGGTCTTGCATTGTATACGTCAACCATGTGGCCCACCATCTCCGGCAGGATGATCAAGTCCCACCTCCCCGCTTCTCCATGGGCGGAGCCTCCTTTCTGGCCTTGCGCAGGTGCTTCAGAAGCAAGTACTTCTTCCTTCGAAGGCCCGAGGTTTCGCCGCCGCCGCACACTGTACAGCTGCATCAGCTATTCATAAGATGTGTCAAGCTGTTGATCGAGATCCACACTGCGGTAGGTGAACTTGCTGAAGGTCTACTGCTTCTTGTGGTCCACTTCCGCTGCCTTGGTTCTTCGGAAAAGCTGTTCTGCCTCTATTGCTCATAGGTGTCATGTTCCCAACCCTCTGACTTTCATTTAGCTGCAAACTCTGGCTTGTGTATCTGACATCAGATGGCTATGGAGACCCTTTCAGGCAAGCCACTCCAGCCTGGGTGGATGCCTGGCCTCCTGGCATTTCCTCCCCAGCATTAACCAGGGAAACTCGAATGTGCCACTGCCAGTTTTCTCCCCAATCTCGCATTCTCCACTCCACCTTTTCTACCTTAGGGGTCAGAAACCAAGGAATACAATTATTAGATCAAAGAATGTTAGTTAGAAAGGATGATTTTTATAATTTAGCTAAAAAAAATTTCATTTAAGGTGAAATGACTTCTTCCCGGTCATACAGAAAATCCCAGGGTAATATGGCACCTATATACACAGATGAACCTTATTACTAATACTATTATTACTATTATTATTATTACCAATTATTAAGATTCCATAAGAAAGATAACATTCTATTTGATCTTTAAGTACAGCCAGGTGTGATTCAACCTAAATGAAAATGGACTGCAGGTCTAGCCCAAGTCTTTGTTACTACTATATGGAGGAAGGAAATGTTCCATTTCTTTCTTTCTTTTTTTAAAAAAATATATACTTTATTGATTTTTTACAGAGAGGAAGGAGAGAGGGATAGAGAGTTAGAAACATCGATGAGAGAGAAACATTGATCAGCTACCTCCTGCAAACCCCCCAATGGGGATATGCCTACAACCAAGGTACATGCCCTTGACTGGAATCGAAGCTGGGACCCTTCAGTCCACAGACCGACTCTCTACCCACTGAGCAAAACCAGTTAGGGCAGCATATTACTCTTTTATTATTATAGGTATATATTGATTTCAGAAAGGAAGGAAGAGGGGGTGAGAGATAGAAACATCAATGATGAGAAAGAATCATTAATCAGCTATATCTTACATGCTCCTGACTTGAGATCGAGCCCCCAACCTGGCCATATGCCCTGACCAGGAATCAACCCATGACCTCCTGGTTTATAGGTTGATGATCAACCATTGAGCCATGCTGGCCGGGCTATATTTTTTTAAGGCTAACTCTATGATTCTGATACACAGCCAGGTTTGGGAACCATTGCTGTCCGCCAATCACAAATACAATTACAATTGCTCAAAAATTTTCAAGAAATTCTCATTGTCTACAGAACAAACTAAAATATTAGCTTGGCATACTATTCCAATCTTCCAATTTTATTTTATAAAAATTCTAGCCTGCTTTTAATTATGTAACCTTGAGAAAAAAAATCACTTAAATCAGTAAATACAAAATCAAGGACACAGTCTTTAGTAGACAGTGCCACAAAAACTCTTTCTGTAAAAAAAATTTGAAGAAATAATGTATTTAATTTCTTCTCCAAATACAGTTTTGGTGGTGAGTTTTGTCCCCCATCCTTTGTTCCTGTCCTCTCCTGATTCCCTTTCCTTCTGCTTCTTGGTTTTCTTCTTATCTTTTCTTATTTAAATTGTCATATTCACACTTGCTAAAGCAAACTAGTTCATTTTTATGTTGTAATCACAAATTAATACATGTTTGTTTAAAAAAATTAATTATGAGAGAGAAAAATACAATAAAAGTGAAAGTGCTCCTCCTCTTCCACTCGAAGACTGCTCCTTGTAGGTAACCCCTATTAATGTTCAGTGATGCAAAGCTCATGAACATTTCTTACATTTTCACATTATTTCATTATTACTGTCTTTTATATTTTTATTAATTTCAGAGAGGAAGGGTGAAGGGAAGAAACATCAATGATGAGAGAGAATCATTGATTGGCTGCCTCCTGCATGACCCACACTGAGGATCAAACCTGTAACCCAGGAATTAAACTGTAATCTGGTTCATAAGACGATGCTCAACCACTGAGCCACACTGGATGGCACATTTTCACTTTCCATAGGGATTTTGCACCTGCTCTTTGGATTGGTCCTACCCCTCCCACCCCCCCAACCACATCTCTTTTTGTGTT